AGTGAATATGTGTTAGCCGGCTGCAAGCCAAGTAAAGAGGTAAGGTTGGGTTTTTGGCTAGGAGTTCCACTCCTTAAAATTAACCACAACATCATTGCTAATGAAATATCAAGCTCAAGCCCTATGTTCCATTTGGAATGCGAAGATATGAAAAAACCCTCAGTATTTTGTGTCAAGACCTCAGTGCTAAGTGAATTTGAATCTCTGAAGAGAAGTCATTTCCTTCTAGATTTCAGATATATCTTATTGACGACCACCAATAGGCATGAAACGTAGGTCTAGGGCTTCCTGTCTACCGTTCTCAACAGTCTAACGTTAAAACATAATTTCTCATAAGTCTACACACTCACTCCTGAACAGTTTGAAAAACTATGAGAAGAAAAAGTAAGAATTCTTGCTAACCTATTCAACATAAACCTTATGCATTTGGGAATATGCTATCAGGCTCGCATTTAGACACATGATAATACTTTGGAAAACACTGAGAAGCTCGAAATAAGACAAGTGTATATACACATATATCTTTTCAAGTGTTGGGTTGTAGTGAGTGAGTTAATTTCAGGAGTGATTTTCGTCAAATATGACTGAGCTCATTTGGAGAACCGCACTGAAAACCAAGAAGTACTGGACAGTATTTTGGTCTTAGTTGGAACTCTTCAGTAGCGTTTATATGACTAACTAAGTCTGTGGTGAAAATCATAAAGAAACATAAAAATAACCAAGAGCTGTTAGTTCCTTCAATGAATTTTGTATAAAAGCGATTTAGAAGACACTGATGCTATTTGGTGGATGGTGACTAGCAGTGGAATCCAGAGGGAGCCTTCTGTCCTATCTGAAGCTTGTCAGCTAGATGAGCCTGTTATGATGAAAACTGACTCGTTGCGGCTTGAATGCACGAAACCGATCGGTGCATTCTACTGCATAGCTGATAAAACTTTCTTGAGGCAAGTACAGTCACAAAGCGCTCCAAAGACGGCGATAAGACGATTATTTGTTGCTGGAATCTGTGGTTCTATTCAGCAGTAATAACATCGGAAACTTATAATTACGTCAACAATTCTGTTAAGCAGTTTCACGGACAATTTTATTTTGAGTATAAATATGTACTTAGAATCGAGTAGAATAATCCCAAAAAAGGTGGGATCGAAAACTCCGTCCACAAGCTGAACACACGAATAATTTCCGCAGACAGTCCAAGGTCAAAACCACATTGATTCGTAAAGCAACACCTCATTAATCTCATCATGACACAACCACAACCATAAAAATTAGAGATTAAATAGGGACAAAGACAAAAAATAACGATCCAGTTAACACATTATGGATATGTACAGTCTGGGAGGAAAATAGATAATAATTACAAAGTCAGTTGAAATGTGCAAGTATAAACACTGTAATCAGACAGTTCAAGAGGGATTCTCCAAGCTGTGATTCTGTTATACTTATCCCTGTTGTCTGCAGTACCCTTTCGTTTCAAGTGCCAAAGCGCTATCCACTAGGTTTGAGTCTCATTGGAAACATCATCACTCACTCACTCACTCACTCACTAGGGACTACAGGAGTATTCAGATGATGAGTCCCAAACAAAACGAAATGGGCAGCCTAGATTCTACTGCTGGCCACCATCCCTTATATAGCAGCACTGTTGATGCTCAGACATAGTCGAAGGTTCCGTACTAAGAGCCAACATGTCTACGGAAGCCGAACATTTCAATTCAATCAATCAACAGAAAGCGAAAAATATTGACTTAAATAAGCAGGAAGTAATTCGATTTATGTATGATGTCACACAAAATCGGAGACTTACAAGCAAAGACAGGACTCCAGGTGAACATTGACAAGACGGAGGTTATGAAAATAACCAACCAACCAGCAACAACAACAACAGCAGCAACATCAAGCGCCAATCACCATCAACGGGGGGATTTGAAAGAGGTTACTTCATTCACTTCACTGATCTAGGGAGCATTGTCTCAACTACAGGAGACAGGAACGGACGAGGATGTCAAATCAAGAATCGGGAAGGCGACAAACACATTCATCAACCTGAAACCAATCTGGAAATCTTCGTCACTCAGCCTGCATCAACAACAAAGTTCGGATTTCCAATACAAACGTCAAGTGAGTCAATTCTTCCATACAGATCAGAAACTTGGCAGTTCACAAAGAATATTTCCAACAGCCTGTTGCAGACCTTTATCAACAGCTGTCTTCGTTCTATACTGAAGATCAGTTGGCTGGAAAGAATCACCGACAAGGAACTATGGAAGAAAGAAAACAAGAACCAATCGCTCAACAAATATGCAGGAGGAAGTGGAGATGGATTGGACCCTCGCTGAGGAGGCCGTTGGGTGACATCGTGCGTCAGGCCCTTGAGTGGAACCCGAAAGGGAAGCGGCGAGTGGGACGTCCAAGGGTGACATGGAGGAGATCGTGTGAAGAGGAGCTGAAACAGTATGGATTAACATGGATGCAGGTGAAAAGTACAGCAGAAAACAGAAGCGAGTGGAGACGTGCAGTTGAAGCCCTATGTTCCACTAGGAACCCAAGGGAACAATAATAATAATAATAATTCGAACCATCAGTTTTGACTTGAGAATAATCTCTTTTATACGATGATAAATATTTTTGTGAATCTGTAACTGATTTCCTATTCTAGAAATTTTTTTCTATGTGCTTTCTACATGGTATTTATAAGTAATCGCTACATGTTCATTATGTCAAATATAATTGATTATGTAAACTGTAAATGGCAATCCTTTAAGTATTAGTGTATTTATGCATTCTTAAGGAAAGCTTTGAAATAGTGAAATTTACTCTTAGTTAAAGATCATTTCTTCCATTCGCTGCGTTTCGACTGAAACATATGTCTTCATGTTTTGAAGTTTCATTGGTAATGTTTTTAGTTTTTTATTTTTACGGGGTATGATTTCTCCTCTTTTCTCGGCTAATTACCAGCTACACGAGGTTTAAAGGAGTTCATTGACGAGAATCGTGACCCAACCTGTTGCATTATTAAAAAGCACTCTTCCATTGAACTACAGACATCATAAATGACTGTTTTGCGGAAGTCGAATCGTCTGCCTGGGTGAGAACCAGAAATCCTAACCGTTAGACTACTCAGGACAATAACTGTAACATTAATTTACCTGACTGAGTTTTCCATGATCTTCAAAAGAATGATTACTGAACAAAGAATACTCTTTTCGATAACTTCATCATCAGGCTCTACAGTTATATATACATTATAGTGAATGAATGAATTAGTGTTATGAACAACATTAATGTTGTTTAAATAACATCAAATCAATAATATTGATAGATTACAGTTCAATAGCATCAACATAACAATACCCACTGAATGTCAGAAATATTAGGTAAGATAATAATACACTTCCAGTTCTATCTACTGATTCAACTGCGCTTGTGGTGGAGTGAATTATATTGGCCGTTGCTCTAGGAACTTGATTATTCGGGGTCACTCGGGAACATCTACGAGAATGTCTAATTAAAAGGTGTAGTGTAAACTATCAACAGTTGGATATTACATCACCTGGTCCAAACGGCAACAGTGATAGCCAGTATTGTAGAATCCTTCTCTATCATCTACCACGTATCAAATAAATTGACGAAAACATCCAGGTACCACATACTCCATACAGGAGAGGCTATCGTGATTCGCATGAAACAACCAGTGTTCTGTGTGCAGAGGAAGCGAGTCCAGCTAGCCACTACTACTGCCCTGATCGGCCTTCAGTGGAGACTATAAATTCATGAATTTGTATTATTTATTATTTTTCCTAATTTCTCTGATATTCAGTGTGTAGTGTTATGTTGATGCTATTGAACTGTAATCCATTGATTATTACTGATTCGATGTTATTTAAACAACATTCATGTTTTTAATAACACTAATTCACTCACTATTATGAATGGATATATAACTGTAGAACCTGATGAAGAGTAGGTTATCGAAAAGAGTATTCTTTGTTCAGTAATCATTCTTTTCCATGTTCCATGATATCCAGTAGACTGAGTTTATGGACCTCTACTTACCAACTCTAGTGAATAAGAATCACTTCACACTACTTATAAGGAAAAAGTGGAAATTATCGAGAAATAAACACTCATTGATTGACTAAAAATGGTAACATACTAATCCAAGGAACCAGACAGTTTCCAACTGGATTATTCACGAGGTCGTGGTTTTAGTAAACAATTGCCTACTAGTCTTTTGTTTTGTGATAAAGGCTTGTTACCAAAGCTAACTTAATTGTTACATAGGACATATGTGTATATATTGTGCACAAAGGCTAATTCTATTCATTTGTTCAGTTAGTATGTCCAGTCATTAAAAGGAAGTAAACATTTTGTGACCAAAAGAAAATTGGTCAATAATAATAATAAATAAATCGTTTTCCACAGTAAACTTTGTCTTTTACAAGCCAAAACAACAAGAATGTGACGCGTCAATCAAACGACTAATCAACAAATAAATATACTCTACTTAAATGATACAAAAAATGTTATGGAATTAAAAAAAATACTTTTAGGAAGGTATAGATTATATAAAGCGAAATGGAAGAAGCTGGAATTCATGGGCTATTGGATGGCGTCCCAGTGGCTGATTCGTGTACGATCTTTCCGTTAACCTGGAAGGTCCTGGGTTCAGATCCCAGTGAATGGTTTGGCACAGATAAGTCGTGACTTGAAGAAGATCAAAAAGTACGGTACAGTTGCACGAGCTACTGCTCATGCACAGATGAGACTAATGAAACATCGGCAGAAGAAAGCACATGTCATGGAAATCCAAGTAAACGGAGGGACTATATCACAAAAGGTCGACTGGATCCGCTCACACTTTGAAAAACAGATTCCAATTTCAAACGTCTTTTCTCAGGATGAAATGATCGATGTTGTTGGTGTGACTAAAGGAAAAGGCTTCCAAGGCGTTACTTTCCGCTGGCATATAATTATCCGGGCAGTACGAATACTGTGCTGGAAGCTGTCTGGGTTGTGATTCTAAGACTGTGATGTACTCTAAAGCTGAATGCTGACGTCATTGTCAAATCAGAAATCATGTTTTCATGACCTCAGTATTGATGGCTATCTTACGTGAACTATTTAGGCATTACTTTAATTGATATGGAACAACCGGCTATTCGTATTTTGAGACGACCATGTCCACATCTGTCTGAGATTCAAAAAACACCACAGAGGCCAACTGTAGTCACTAAAACTCTTGAACAAAGAGAGGCAGATTATGCCGCTGCAAGGGAAAGGATTATGGGTTACACGACTCCGGATCCAGCTGAAGTGGAAACGAAAGATTCAGTAGAGTCTGATACTACGAAGATAACGGAGGATACTAATAATCTAACTTTAAAGAAAGATTCATGTATCCCGACTACTTCTACTACAACGTAGAATACGGAGGTTAGTGCTCAGAAAAGTCTGTCAACTGAAGTGTCAGTAAATCGCTTGCAAGCTAATCAGAATGGAGCACAAATCGCGTCGCCTCAGAATTACAAACAGCCTCTAGAAGTTGGTGCCAACCGAAAGCATCAGCAACATGCACAGTCTACATCAAATAGTGTTCGACAGAATCTGGTAGCTCATCAACAGCGCAGGGCAACAGCATCTGCCAATAGATCATCTTATTTTCCTCAACCCTCACCTCTTTTTTCTTCTCAAACTGGATACAATAATGTTGGTCTTCTTCCTACATCCCCTGGTTTTCAGTGTCCCGTAGTTTTCTTCAACGGGCCCATTATTGCTTGTTTCTCTGTTGTAGAGTCGAAAACTAGGCGGAAATCGCTATCCAGTACTCCGTGTTGGTTTTCAGATTGCTCTCCAACTGATGTCAGCACGTGATCAAACTTGCAACCAGTCAAACCTCTGCATACGAACACTTGAGAAGGAATAAATTGCATAAGCAAAATTTTTGAAAATTTGAAACAGATTCGTATTGAAATAAAAGGTTTGTTGGTTGTTCAGCGGTAGAATGCTCGCTAATCAAAAGTGTGTCCCAATGTTCGATTCCCGCCCGACATACTCCTAAAACTTGCCTAATTTAATAGCTGATTGTAAGCCTGAAAAAGGGGATCATCCAGCTTACATATATTATATTACTCCTATACGTTCCTGGTGGAACATAGAGTGCCTTCAAGCGACAGACTTGAATATCCCGTAGCAGTGGTGTTTATTTTACAGGATGGAGTTGCTAGCCTCATGCCCAACCTTGCCTCTTTACCAGTCTTATTACTGGCTTAGCGAGGTTTAGGAATGCGTCGGCCGGGCATCGAACCCCGAACCACATCAGGCGTGGTCGGCGAGCATTCTACCGCTGTGCTGCTTAGGAAAAAAATATTTCAATTGATCATATATTGCAATTTTTTGTTCTTTACCAACATGTTTCTCTTTCTCACATACATTTCATTGATTTCCTCTCTGTTTTGAGCTGAGCGCGCTACATTTTGCTCTTCCCTTTTTAGGCCTTTCAAATAATTTCCCATTATAGGATTTTTTCTTAATAAGGGTGAAAAAAATTTGATTTATCCTTGTTGGAAAGCATATTTATGAACTTTTTCGGAAAAAATAAATAAATACATAAATATATACTCAAGTTATCTGAAAGAGGTGATACATTGTAAATTATTTGATGAAAGTAACCGTTGCACGATCAGTATCACAAAATCAACAATATTGACAATCATTTGAACAAACGAATAGTCATCTTCATGCCCATTGAACATAAACCAAAGAATTTGACGTGTATTCCACATTCATTTTATTTTTATTGGATATATCAACCAGAGTGAAATAGTACTATGTACTGGATGAAATTTTGATCACAATTCACTGTTTCTAAGTATATTGAAACTTGATTTTTATAGTTCTTGTCTTTCGTCCCTATTTGTCGTTAGGGTAGTAGAGTTTTCCAGATCTCCGAAATAGGTGTTGAATCATTCCCACTGTATGTATTTTCAGTTGTTATGATGAATGAAGCTTCCATTACGAATCTCTCCTTCCATCCGTGTTACATTAGGTTTTAAGACTGTCATGTTGTCCCACACCAATATATATACATATGGTTGCGTGGAACTGCTTGTAATGCTATCGCTCAGCTCTTTTTTTCTGGATTTCATATCTTATGTGCTATCTACGAACGAGTTTAGATTTCGCTAGGGTTTGTGTGCTCAGTTGGTCAAATTGACCCCGGTCTACTACTTATGTATTTGACCTCATAATCATTTCAGGATATCAGATAAACTAAATTATTTTGTTTGATGAACTCGACAGGATCTTTTGACTGTTATATTTCGTTTCCAGGTGAGTTTGTTGGTTCTGAATGCCGCTTTTTTCCTGCATTGTTAAGAATTCTGTGTAAAATTTCAGAGGTTCTGCCTTGATAATGAAGCACTACTGATGTTTTACATTCGCTATTCTTCTCTGGGTTATCATCTTTCTGTGTATATTTGTCATGAATGCCATCCTCATTATTATTTTTTAATTTTATTTCTACAATTCCCCACGTATTTCCTGACCACTTTATTAGGACAGTTAATGATTGCCAATGATTCTCCTATATATGTCTTACTTCCTGACTTCAATTCTATTTGGTACTGTAACGGAAGAAGATAAGAGACTTAATAAGGAAAAACACATCGTATTTATACATTCTTAGTTACATCAAATTTCAGCTAGATTAGTGGAGAATAAATTACTCTGACTGGCCGTTGGCGGTTGACCCAAGGTTAAAGAAGTCGTCCGAAGAGATTATTCCATGTCTACAAGGTAAGGTAAATCCAGATTTGAGGGATAGACACTTCTATCTCTGCTGCAGCCATTGACTTAAAATGTTGATTTCACTTCTGGTCGCTTCTTATCAATCTGTATCACGCTACAATATTATACGGTTTATTTTGTCCGATCACTTAAATAATTCATAAACCCGATTTTTAGTCACATACTGGTTTGAATCTACAGTTTTTTGTTCAGTACTAGTGTTTAACTGGTAGTCTTGTTTCTTTTTCACAATGCATTGCAACACTGGAATCTCCTCATTACTGATTTTCCAACTGATGAGTGAATTGAACTGCATCTACCAGTGAGTTGATGTGTTTGCTAAACCTTTACATAATCTGTATTCTCATTAATGTGAATGTGTCACACGCACATCTTCGCCACCTTTTCTGGTGGGATGGAACGTTCAGAACGAAAATGTTTCTCAATTACACGTAAATATATCTGTCACTACAGGGGAAATTCAGTGACCAATAAACATACTGTCACATTAATTCGGTGTATGGTGAATAGCAGTGGAATCCAGGATGCACATTTTGTTCTACATACAGATGACTAGTCTCAAATGGGGCGAAATATTCATCCTGGATTCCACTGATAGTTACTTGCCATCAAATTGCTTCAAGTTGAATCCTCAGACATCGTCGATGCATCCGTTAGTGGGGCTGACATGTCACCAGAGGCTGAAAATTTTGGTCCAATCAGTCATGCAGGAGACTGCTCCAACACTATGAAGTGCAGTCCCCAAGTCTTTATCAACATCAGTCAACAACTAGCTATGTGACAATGTCACATGTCAGTTGATCCACAACGGAAAATTTAGAGTGACCAATTCTTGAGGGGAACATGAATGGGAAGCAACGAGTTGGTAGTCATTGCGAGAGCGACAAGGAGTAGATCGTGTAAGGAGGAGGTGAGAAATTGTGGGCAGTTGTGGGGCTAGTCGGATGAAGAGAACATCAGATAACAGAACAAAGCGGAGACGTGTTGTTGAAGTCCCATATTCCACTCGGAACCCAAAGGAATAATAATAATAAAACCTTAGTGTCATTTAGATCATTTCATGTAGACAGCGATGAACAATAATTTAAATGCGACAATGTGAACAATTTTAGATATTGATAACACAAAGAACACCAGAGAAGGCTTATACGCATGTTACTCAGTTTTATTCACGAAGATTAGATATGTAGATATAGAATGAATTTATCTCTGTGTATTATATTCAACAAATTATTTACCTAATATGGAATTATGCTCTACTACAGTGAAAAAATTCCATTCTTACATTCATGAACGAGAGGATCAACATCAACAAATTTCTGTGAGGTAAGAATAACAGGCGAGATCACAGAGATAAAGAGAATTCACAAAGTTCACTGCAAACTAAAATTACTGCATAAGATATTGTCCTTCAGGAAAATGAGCACTTCACATTTGAGCCGTCCAGCACATGGAACACAACAACACCGAAAGCATTTATATTTGCAGTGTTTGGTCTTTAATCTTTTGGTGCCGACCAAATTCTATCAGCCTGCTTTGCAATGTGGTCAACAAGCTAGGACACTTACCATCGCGAAGTATTTTGAATTATTATCAGACGTCTTCGTCTACAGCTGTTAGTGATCCTTTCAGGGTGCAGACACATGATGCTGACAAGTGCCAGTAAGCATGGGAACCAGATCAAAGGCATCTTGCTAGTCACCCCCAGCCGTCTCATAGTAAACAGCTATAAGTATGTTTATAGTTATAACTTGTTGTATTGGTATTATCATAATATTGTAATAATTGTTCAGATAACAAAATTTGATACCATTTGATAAATCTGTGAGAACAGATGGAATGGAAGTGGACGCTCCAGATTGTTAAATGGGGAGTCAACAGTATACTCTGATCACCCAAACAACAACCACGAGCTCACTGGAAGGGGAATGACTGTCACGCTATCATCAACAATATCTCAAACTCTTAATCATTCGTTATCAGTCTCTTCCAGAATAATGACAGCAAGATTCAATTCAGAAGGTAGGGGAGTTACAATTATCTAATGCTAAGCGCCTACAAACAACTCAGAACAATAGATGAATTGAGAATTTCACAGATAACTGAGAACAGTAATGAACAAGACCCCTAAAGACGACAGCAAAATCCTAATGGATGATATGAATGCCAGACCTCGAGCAGAGAACACAGGAAGAGAACGCATCATACATTAAGAGGTTGTCGGAGAAATAAATGAGGACGGGGAAATCTTCCCAAAATTCTGCGCCTTCAATAATTTGGTGATTGAATGCAGCGTGTACACGCACAATGACACATACAAGGCGACCTGGTGGACACAAGAAAGGTCAAAAGGACTTCATCATAAGCTCAAGGAAGTGAAGACACGGTCTTCTGGATACAAAGTCAAGAAGGCGAGGGGATGTGAGCTCGGATAGTTATTTAGTTCAAGGAACCTTCAAGGTCAATTCGAAAGTCTTCAAAGCAGCTGGAGACATATCACAATTCAAGCCCAACAATGAGAAACTGAAAGACGAAACTACAAAAGATACCTCCACTACATCCATCAGAGCGAATTTGGAGATATTACGTAGCATCACTAAGAAAATCTGTGCGGAAGA